TAGGGACTTTAAGATGCAGGCTCTACTACGGCGACCGGAAGTCTACACTTACAACTTGTCCGACTGCGCATGTCTAAGGCGGGAATTCACGCCGTACTCTTGCCATCTGCTACGGCATAATCACTTCGTTCCCATGGTGAGTACGTCAGAATTTGCCGTAATATTTCGTTTGAAGTTTTGATTATTTGAATTTTTTCCTTGTGATTAAATTAATTGCGTTTCTTTACGAGTTGATGAATCATGGATAAACGCAATTTGGTCAAAATTTACTTGTAGAAAAAAGATGTCAAACCAGGGACAGCTTCAGGTTCCGCCGCCAACACTGCCAAGCGGCAATCGTAAGTATTTCCATATCGTTTTCGTTTGTTTCATTCTTTTTGACTAAGTCGAGTTCTTCGGTTTGCTTATCCGGCACTAAGCTGGTGGGTACTTTTACGTGTAAGAAGTTACTAGAATGTTTATTTATTTCTGTTAATTTGATTTTTACAAAAGGCCAATGGAGTTGACAACAGCGCACGACCTGTTGCTGTGCAAAGAAATTTTGGTAGAGGGGTTTTAGAAGTTCAAGAAAGGGAGTAATGACAGAGGAAGAGTTTGGATGCAAATTTCCAAGAACCTCAACAGTGTAACTGCAATAAAATTCAAAGTGAATCAAAGAGCAGTAAGAGAGCGATTGACTTGCTACTCCGAAGATTTCGACTGACAGCAAAGTGGAGAAGAAGAAAATGCAAGAGGTATATCTCCGAACCAACAGAGCTCGACGCACTGTTGGAAGACATTTCTGAAAGAGAGAAATTAGCAGAATCAACGAGAGAATCCTGTAGCAGAAGGAGTGTCGAAACAGATAGCAAAAAAGCCGAGGAGACGCGTTTCCAAGCCTTGGAAAGAGTTGGTGAAACAAAAAAAAGGGCTAATGAGGACTGTGAAAGAAAAGCGAAAAGGCAACGAAGAAGCGGAGCTGATTTTGCCCAATTTCTACGGGTAAAATCAGAAAAGGAGCTTAACATCCGAGAAGAGGCAGTTCGCTTTAAAAAGAATAAATATTGAAAGCGAAAAAGAGAAGCAAGCACAGATGTTTAAAACCCAGGAGGCCATGATTACAAACATGGCAAAACCACAATATCAGATACAAACACTATAAATGGCGTTTTTACAGCAACAGCAAAAGCAGACACAGGCCAAGATGGTGTTGTTAGAAAGACTTACGAAAAAATAGTAACTTAGTTCCCTAACAGAGATTGACAATGGATTGATTTACTCTTGTAAAGTTATTGCAGCTTCAAGTTACTGATTTTGTTTGTTTAGTGTCATTTTGAATTTTCTATTTTTCAAGTAGGAGTGAATTCTGTTGGGCTCTGCAAATATGACTTCCACCTAGTATTTTGTTAGAAATTTGTTTAGTGGTTACACCATTCAAGATATATCTTAAATGAATAATTTATTTCGCAAGTACCGCTATGTGGGTTTTTTTAATCTAAACTGTGCCAAAAATCTGTCGTCACTAAAATTTTCGAGGTCAAACTCAGAGAACAAGTGATACGAAAGTTCTAAGTTTTGTGATTGGTAGCTAGCGTAAAGCAACAAAAATTCGTCATCACAAATGTAATTCATCTCATAACAAAGACGGCTTAACTCTCTTGCTTCCTTGAAAAATGAAATTTTTGCCATTTAAATGACTCCACAACAACGCTTTGCGCTCTTAGCTTCCGCCGTAGTGTCGCTGTAGCTTAACGATTTGTATTTGGCGGGAAATACGCCGCACTCTCCCTAGTCCATCGCGGCCAAGGTAGCCGTAGTACAGATTCACCGTACCGTATCTTAAAGTCCCTTGAAATGTGTCATGGCCGGATATAAACACGTTGAAGATTTTTTTTTCTCATAATTGTGTCGCAACACTGAAGAATGAAGAATTGCGGTTACATTGCCAATGCATTTTTCGGAATCATCGTGAACATGGAGGAGTCCAATCAGATAAACGAGCCCATAGTGGTTAACTGGTATTTACAAAAGTTTTCCTCTGAATTCCAGGAACTCAAAAATACCTCGTCGCTTTATGGGTTGTAAACTACATTTCTTACTTCTCCGGAGCTTTGTCCCTCTCTCAGTTAGATTATAAATGCCCCCATCTATAGGCCAAGTTGCACAAGTTTAAAGAAATCGACAAGAAAAGAGGCTTTTTTTTTCTTCTGTGATTCCTTTTTTTGATCTGCGACTTATCTCTTTCTTTCGCAACCATTTTTTTTATCTACAGTCTTTTTCTAACCATGCGCAATACTTCTCTTCCTCAGCGAATTTACTATCCGCTCCTTATTCTTCTTTCCTGGAGGGATCGCACCTCGTAGCGGTGGTACTTGACATGAACCTAAATGGATAGAAGGAAAGAGAGATTTAATTCTCCCAGTGTACCATATTTTTGGTTCATAGTTCTAAGAATATAAATCAGTGCCTCAAAAATTAAATTATAAACAGTTCATTTTTTTTAAGTTCAATCAGGATCTCAATCTAGTTGCAATTCGAACAAAATTCTGCGGTTTTCCCTCAGCGTATGATTTTCGATTTTATTCGATTCAAAGATGACCTAGTAGAGTGCGTTTGGTGGCTTTCTCAAGCTCGAACTGTACCCGTTAGATGGTCCTAAGTCTCGCATAATACGGCATAAGCCTTTTAAGGTTTTACAACACTTCTCCAGTCAGCCTCAAGACCGAAATTTTATTTGTTATTGAACTATGTCATGGCCCAAAATAAATAAAGCAAAGATTTTTTTTCTCTGGGTGCCGCGACACTGAAGAAAGAAGAATTGCGGNTTTTAAATAGAGCTTACTTCTATCTGAAGAGGAATTTCCTTGATATATACCAAGACCTGGAACTGCATTATAAGTCATCCGCTGTCGCGGGTGTCCTTTCCCTAAAAAAAATTGTAACGCCTTTTTTTGAAGCATAACCGCCGTAAACTATTTAACAATTATTCGCCGAAGGCGAGGTGAATATCGTCGAATAATCCCCGAGAAAAAGTCGAGGGGATTATTCGACAATACTCACTGAACTTCAGGCGAATAATTGTTTTAGTATAATTTCAGAGCTGAACAACTGAGAAATCATAACATTTTAGTAACATTTATTAAAATTTTACTTTAACATTTTATATAAACCGCGTGGAGCGGTTTATGTAGCGTCATATAAGGAACCGCTCGACCAATCAGATTGCTGGAAAGTCTTTGCTCAGCTCTGATTTTATACTAAATATACATAAATGATATCAAATCTGATCGCACAAATAATACCTAACACAATTTCAATCCTAATTTTTTGATATTCTGACGCGTTGCTTTCCAATTTATATCTGAAATTTCAAAGTTTTAACGATGCGCATTACGTCGGAAGCCATTCCGGAATTGGTATTTTGGGAGTCTTCGGACCAAATTTCAAGGCAATCCGTAAAGGTAACATACCCCTACAGGCACAGGCCATGATGATGTTGTTAGAAAGACTTGCGAAAAAACAGTAACTTAGTTCCCTAACAGAGATTGACAATGGATTGATTTACTCTTGTAAAGTTATTGCAGCTTCATGTTACTGATTTTGTTTGTTTAGTGTCATTTTGAATTTTCTATTTTTCAAGTAGGAGTGAGTTTTGTTGAGCTCTGCAAATATGACTTCCAGCTAGTATTTTGTTAGAAATTTGTTGAGTGGTTACACCATTCAGATATATCTTAAATGAATAAATTATTTCGCAAGTACCGCTATGTGGGTTTTTTTTTAATCTACACAGTGCCAAACATCTGTCGTCACTAAAATTTTCGAAGTCAAACTCAGAGAACGAGTGATACGGAAGTTCTAAGTTTTGTGATTCGTAGCTAGTGTAAAGCAACAAAAATTCGTCATCACAAATGTAATTCATCTCATAACAATGACGGATTAATTCTCTTGCTTCCTTGAAGGATGAAATTTTTGCCATTTAAATGACTCCACAACAACACTTTGCGCTCTTAGCTTCCGACGTAGTGTCGCTGTAGCTTAACCATTTGTATTTGGCGGGAAATACGCCGTACTCTCCCTAGTCATCCGCGGCCAAGGTAGCCGTACTACAGATTCACCGTACCGTATCTTAAAGTCCCTTGAAATGTGTCATGGCCGGAAATAAACACGCTGAAGATTTTTTTCTCATAATTGTGTCGCAACACTGAAGAATGAAGAATTGCGGTTACAATGCTAATGTATTTTTCGGAATCATTGTGAACATCGAGGAGGTCCAATCAGATAAACGAGCCCATAGTGGTTAACTGGTATTTACAAAAGTTTTCCTCTGAATTCCAGGAACTCCAAAATACCTCGTCTATTAATGGGTTGTCAACTACATTTCTTAATTCTCCGGAGCTTTGTCCCTCTCTCAGTTAGATTATAAATACCCCCATCTATGGCCAAGTTGCACAAGTTTAAAGAAATCGACAAGAAAAGAGGCTTCTTTTTTCTTCTCTGATTCCTTTTTTGATCTGCGACTTATCTCTTTCTTTCGCAACCATTTTTTTTATCTAAAGTCTTTTTTTATCCATGCGCAATACTTCTCTCCATCAGCGACTTCTTTAGTATCTGCACCTTATTCTCTGTTCTCTGTATCTTCTTAAATTTTAGTGTATTTTGTAGTGCACTGCTAGGTGGCCATTAAAAAAAAA